CCAAACCATTCTATGATTCTATGATACATATATATGCACATACACAGTCCTGTGTTACTATTTATTCTGAACTGGGATTATATAAGTGGTGTTCTGCTTGTAGCAAACCCTGATCTTTAGTAAGTCTGAACAAAAACAATGAATATAGGATTCAAGCAATGAAAAACAAGCATTACAGTTCCATGCACCACAGTATCTGAAATCGATCAGAATGTCAATGTGTTACAAGTACAAAGGTGTTTAGATATAACGTTAATAAGAATTAAAATACGAACTGAAAACATTAATGAACTGTTTACTCTGGTAATATGAATTTATTTTGTTCAACTCCCTCTGGTAAATTATCTTCTGCTTTGCAAGGTACTGTACTGGATATACTTTTCAATCCAAGTGAGTTATCATTTGCAAATAGATAATATGCTACTAATACAGTTACTGCATACAATCTAGCAGGTCAACCCACTCTCTGAAAGTGGGGTAACAATTATTTTTCCAATAAACTTTTTTAGTTGTTCATGTTGGCTCTTTGTATCCATTTCCACTACTTAATTTATATTCCATGTTAAAATTCTTGTTTAATTTTGAAAGATCCACCATAAAATTACCTCTGTAAAAGCTGCCAACTCTTCTCGGAACAGGGTCATTATACAGAATTCTATTTTCCTTAGTAGATGCTCCATCTTCTGTGTGTGGATCATGATATGCTCCACCCTAAACAAAAGAACAATCAACTATTTAAGATGAAAGACTATGAACTGATTTGCAGTTTTTAGCCAACATACATAAGCAAGAAACCCAGACACAATTTTCCTTTCATGTTATTAATAACTGCCAATATCAAATCACAGACTATGTAATGAAGAATTATTTGGTTTTGTGGCTTGCTTGCTTTTTCCAAAATGACAAAAATGGCATTAACAAAATTTTGCCTCTTAGTTGTAATTTTAAAGACTTGAACATGATTCAGACCCTCAGATTTTGCCGTGAATGAAATGCAGTTGTAACATCTCTGAAGGAATCTTTTGCTAGAGACCTTGTTATTTTAATTTCTGATGCAATCTGGTCGCTCTGCTGTATAATATGCCTATAATTTGTGATAACTGCAACACCAAAGCACTATCTCTTAGAAGGTGTTATACAGTAGTACCTTGAGATACCAACAGTCACAAAATCTACTGTATGCAAAGTAAGACATAGTCCCTGAACTAAGAAATCTAAGCTAAATAGTTAAGTCAGGATAGCATAAAAAATCTTTGCCTCTAATTTACTCTATTTTCCTGAATATAGTACTTCTTAAAAGGTACTGCAAGCAAAAGCTTAAGTATGGCCTTAGAAACACCCGTATGCAGGTAATTTGCCACCAAATATGACTTAACCCCACTCTTAAATGAACCAGATACTGCAATTTTATCTGCAGTATGGACCGAACAGATAAAATTCAAAGCTCTCTACAAGACCTTACAGGAAACTGTGCTGAAAGCCCTATATGAATTTAAATCTAGAATGTCCAAGAAGGACAAAGGTTAAAAAACCAAAACCAGAAAAAAACTCAATCAGAATTAAAAATTGGGATTTTAATTCATTATATGGGTGCTTTGCAAAATCTATTTTGCATTTTATTAATGAAAATCTGGCCTTGCTGTCACAGATAAAATCACCCTTGAAATTGTGCCAAGATGAGAAATGCACCTAAAACAATGCTTTAAATCACAGTTTGATTCTTCTAAAATTTGCAAGTTTTGATTAAATTACTACTTATGTAAGATACCTCTTCTTTGTCAGCAGTTGTTACAAATATGAGACCATAATAGCAACTTGTACTTGATTTTCTTCTGCTTGCTCCCTTTTGTGTACGTATAATTTAAAATAAAAAAGAACCCTTAAAACAAAAGTGTACTGAGACTTGAAAAGCCCCCAAACTAACACTGAATGCAAGTCTTTTTTTCTTTTTTTTTTCTTTTTAAGTAAGATTATAGCCTGGCAAACAAAGAATGTTTTTCTTTAAAAAGACTGGGTAGAGCTAAAGAGAAAATCAATGAGAAACTAGAAACATGGAAGAGAGGAACCTTCACAAAATATGAGCAGAGAACAAGTAGAACTGAATGGAAAAAAATAATAGGAAAACAATAAAGAATCTTTGAGAACACTTATGTTATTACTTATTTTTTTAGTTCAGTAATACTGATGGAAGTTAAATTTTCTGATTTCTAATGCCAAATGTAGAAAAAGAAAAAAAAAGGGGGGATAGGAAGGAGCCAAAGAATGATTTCTTTGTAAAATGCCTTTACAAGGCATAAGAAGATGGAAAATTTAATTCTGATTTGTTATTGAAAGTAGTATAAACAAACAAACAGCTTTGTGAATTTACAGACTTGCCATCCATTTCAGAAGGGTATTTTTCCTTTCAGATTTCTGATGGTTGAAATACAGATTTAAAAGCATTAATTGAAGGCTTAAGTGTAAAAACACTGACCACAAGAAATAAAGGCAAGTTCTTTACAAATGATTAGGCATTCCAAAGTAAACCAAAAGAAAACATAAGAATTAAGATACATGTAAATTTTTCTAATTAAAATAAAAATTTGTCAACCAGTTGTCAAAAGACAAAGAATGATCTGATAGAAACAATCTGCCTCTACTTAGATGAAATTAAAGTTACTTATCAAATTAATATCTGCTACATAATGCAGAAAAAGATCCTAATGCTCTGAAGAATACAAGATAAAACATGAGCTTTTATTATCAAACCCTCAAATATTGGTGTTATTGCCCATCTACAGTAACATCCTGAAAATAGCATTTAACTTGACTGGAATGAGAGAGAGAGAAAAATGACTGCACAAAGGAAAAAAAAAAAACAACTGGCTTTGAAATGGAGCTGCTGTGATCCCTTCTAAGTAGCCTTTTTTTTTTTTGCATCACATCGTATTTCTCCTGTTTTGATGAGATCTTTTCTCATGTGTGAATAATCGTGAATGGAGGAGATATGGTAAATACGAAAAAACGTATGATGACTTCTTTTCCCTACTGGATCAAAGAGGCAATTACTACCCGAAAACTCTTTTTTTATGGTACTTGTAGACCACTATCAAGTCAGCTATACACATTTCTTACATAAACTAAGTAGGCAGAGTTTTTTTAGTCTCTCACAGTAAAGCATAATTTTTAGACTTTAAATAGTATTTGCAGCTCTTTGACTTCCTTCAATTTGTGAACAAATGTGAACTAGAATGTTCTCTCCTTAGAGGTTGCTTTATCACAGATGTACATATAGAGAAACAAAGACTCATTTTATGTACTTCTCTCTGCACCATTTTGCTCTACTTTGGATCAATGGTATAGCAATGTAAAGATTTGGGAACAAATGCAGTCAATCTTTACACATCTGATGTGGACAACATTGCATAGTTTAGAAGTGTTGCGTAAAGAATGTAAATCAACACCGGAACTGGCCCTTCCTCTACTCATTGAATGATGCTCACAGTAAAACACAAGGTAATCGGTGACAGCAGTTACTCTAAGGAGTCAATTTACCAGTGCCTCCTGCAACATAAAAATCTCTAGACTACCCCAGTTATTTATCATACTAATCAAGAGAAATATTGCAAGTTTTGATATTCCTCTAGTAAATCATGGCATTTCAGCAATAACGTCCTGCTATAAGCGAGTGAAAAGCTCACTTCAAAAATTAATGTTAGCATTCATAACAGAAAGACATACAGAAAAAATAAAAACACAAATGAGAAGGTTAATTAAGCAAAACACTGTGACAAAAATGACATCAGACAATGCAACCAAAGACTAGGAACTATTAATGAAATTTTAACTTCAGAGACAGTTTTTTTCTGTTCTCACATTTCCGTACTTTAAGAGAATGGTATTCATAGTCCATTTTTTAGAATTATTTTAAAAATAGCCTCTCATTTTGCTCTTGACATATTTAGCCCTTCTGAAAAACACCCCCAAGATCCCTTGCCTTACAAGACGACAAATAAATAAATAACTGCAAACAAACAGAAGAGAGAAAGCAGGACACTGTCCCCACATGAAGTAAAGAGAGGGAGGTAAGCCTTCCATAATAGCAATATTTTGAACTAACCCTATTAGTATCTTCTGTACAGTCTTCTCGTGACGAGCCAACAGATCTTGTGAGTGACTTGTGCTGCACCTGTGGAGATAACAGTTGCAGGCTGTTTGCTCTGGCTGCCATCCCTTGCCCTATGCTTAAGCCACCCTCTGAGCCCTTTGACCTCACTCTGTCCCGGCTCACATACATAGAGTGTCTATGAGGGCGCTGCTGTGAAGAAAAAGGACTGGTATAACCTAGACCATAGGAAAAAGATTCATGTGGAGCAGATAGAGAGTGGGAATGGCTTCCATCCATGTGATCTGGCAGTTTTAACTCCTCCATTGTTTTGGAGTGTCTTGTTGATGGTCTTCGGGTGTCCAGGGTACCCTCGCTGCGGTTATTCCTCCCGGATGGACTGAGCAAAGTTCTGTTATCGCTGTGTCGAGGAGCAGTTGGACTGGTAGGAGAGTTCAAGTCCATACAGCTGGATGGAAAATACCTACTGCTGTTTGGTTCTGCAGCTTGGGCCCTGGCTTCAGAAAGGTTGCCCACGGATTTCGAGTCTGTCAGAACCCCATGGCTCTTTGACTTTGTCCGATACGAAGGACTCTTAGAAGACTGTGGGATAGTATCAATATAGCTGTGGCGACTGTGCTTATCGCCGGGTTGTAGTGTCCCAGTTTTGCTTTGAGAAGTTTCCATAAATGAGTGCCGGTTCTGCTGAGATCTGGTGTTAGACTTCAGGTACTTTGTGCCTGGACCATCAGAACTTTTCGGGTCCACATTAAAATCAAATTCTGTTTTTGCCTTTGTTTCCTTTGGGCTGAGAAGATGTGGCATGTTATTATTGGCTAGATCCTTGTTGCCAGATCCAGGTGTGTTGCTCGATTTTTTTGTATGCATTGGACTATGTGCAGCTCCAGGAAGGTTTCCATTTAAAAAGCTTTCATTTGCTGGAAGACCCTCTTCTCTTGGCCCGCCAACCCCTAATGTCTGTATATCCTTGCTGTTTGATCTGTGGTGTGACTGCAAAGCAGAACTTTTGCTGGCTTGATTTCTACATTAAAATGCATAAAGAAGCATTAATATACCAGATTACATATTCATGCATTAATAACTTCAACAAAAGTACACTCATTTCAGAAGGGAGTTGCCATTTAAAACCACAAAATTTAACTGCAGTAAGATCAAATACTGCCAACTAGGCATCAGAAGCTCCACTAAAATAACAGATTTGCCAGTGTTAGTCCATTGTTGTTTCCTTCTGGTTATATCCTGATGGACAAACTCTGCTTTGGTTAACGGACTTTGATAATGAAAAAAATGAAGATATAAAATCCAATCATAGAAATTCCAACCTATATTTACACATTTATGCATGTGTGTGTGTAATATATGTGTACATCACTGATGTAAACACTACATTCTGAAAAGACATCTGGCATATCAAAGTGTAAGTGGAACAATCAAGTAGGTCAGCACTGTCAAAAAACCCAATACAATCAATGCTTCAGGCCATCTAATGTATGTCTGATTTGGGAGAGGAAGAGAGAGAGGGAGGGAGAAAAGAGGATATTGTGCTGGTAAAGGCATCCATGGAGTTAGCCTGAGCTCAGCACAGCCTAGCAAGACCTGTAACACCAAACCCCAAACCAGGTCTACCACAGGAACCCTGACTTTTGTGGAACCTGGCACTATCCCAGTACTTAGCAGACTAACTCATCCCAAAACTGCCCCCAAAATGCCCCACAAACCAGAGCAGACTGACTTTGTGCAGAGCTACTTGGTGACATCCTTAACTTCTACTCTACTTTCCAGCTCTTCTGGTTTTGGGATTGCGGCACTGAGATATGAACTGGTTCTGCAAACATTCAGCCTAAATTTATTTGAGCAGAATTTATTATTTCAGGTTTTCTGGCATAAACCCAGTTCTGCTTCTGGATCTATGCTGGCACTGTAAACCAGCCATGACTGAGCAGTGCTGTGACTGTACTTGTTAGCCTTGATGGACCTAGGCTGGCTATGAAGAGAGTTAACTTATTTCTGTATCAAATCTATGATAATGTAATTCAGATATATTACTGAGGGATAAAACGATAGCTGACTGTACAGACGAGTTTGCACCTTTGTTGATCTTGTTGATAATGATAATTGGGTCATGCTAGCCATTTTTATACTGAGGATTTTTGTATTACCCACTTCAGTGATCTAATTATGCACTCTATTACAGTTTCTAGAAATTTAGCAATTGTAATTTAAATTATTTTTTAGTTAAAAGGAAGTATATTTTTTAAAAACTTAAGAGAGATAAGGAACCTAGTAATTTTAAATCAAGCAGCTAGGCAAGCCTTTGTATTAGACAAGAAGTTTCTCATGGGTTTATGTTTTCCCTTCTGACGCCACATTTCTAACAGTAAAATTTCTATCCCAAGTATCTATAAGGGTAGCTAAAGCTTTTTGGTGTCTACCTCTGAAAAAGTATAGATTGTAAGTGTCATTATCCCAAATCTTAAAATGAGGAATATTTTTTGAATCTCACAGGAAGAGCTAAAGAAATACATGGCTAGGATTAAAACCCACTATCATTCTGCATACTTCAGAGGGCGACCTTTAGGAAAGCTTTTGTCAGAGGAACACCATGAGGCTTTCTGTACTGAAGTATTTTGTCCACCAGTAAACACTGTCCACTGAGGTATTAAAATCAAGTGGCTTCTCTCAAGCTATGTGGGTCCAACAAGGGAGTCACTGAGGAAATACATCCTGTTTTAAATTCAAGTAGACTAGACTTGAATCATAACTGCAGACAAAATTCTGTTCGTCCTCAATTTGGAGCATGATCAATGCACATAATTTTCAGGACATTTAGCTGCTGAAAGTCTGTGTGAATTTTGAACTTTGAAGTATCAAAACCTTGGAGAGACTTGCACATGTACAGTAATGGTAACATTCCAAAGAAAAGAGCTTTCCTTTGGAATCTCAGGCGTCCTCCAAGCCACAAAATTCCTACTGTTGTTCAAGAAAAAGGCTAACATTTTTTTAAGATGGGTAAGCCAACTTATTTTTCCTTTGTCAGAAATGGCTTGAATGTTGTCTTTGTTTTTTGGTTTGGGGTTGGGTTTTTTTTTAATTTTTTTTTCCCAAGAAACAGCCTGATGCAGAAAGTTAGCAAAAATTTCAGCTTGAATAGGTGCAATACACTAAAACTATGTCTACTTCCTTCATTCAGTGAAGCAGCATGGAACAGTATATATATCTGAACGTGTCTAAACTGTCAAACGACTACTTTTCTTTTCTTGGAGATGCTCTTATATGTAAGCATGATAGCAACTCACTTACAGAGCAAATGTCAGTGATGATGATGACATGCCTACATTTACCTGTTAGATAATGTGTTGCTGTCTACGTGGTAAGGTTTTCTCTTAGCTGACCGTGAAGGTGAGCTTCCACAGCGATCCAAGAGTCTTTGGGTTTGAAACGAAGGATGGTTCAAACATTGTTCTGTCAAATATCTATCTGCTGGATCTAACTTCAGTAAATTCTTTGGAAAACAAATCCCAAAGTTTAAATGTTAGTATCTGCATATGCATCAGCAAAAAGTATAACAAAATATCATTATTGAGATAATTTTTAATCTTCAGAGTTTCTGTGATTAGATGTAAGTGCCAGAACAATTTCATGTTGCATTAAACTACATACGATAGAAAATAACCACTTTAAAAATACTATGTTCTACTTAAAAGATGGAAGGCCTCAAACTTGCTCATTATGAAACATATATACACTGTATGTATATAAGGAATATATATACATATATAGCTATATATGTATGCTTAAAATACAAAAATATCTATAGATGTAAAAATATGTTTTATGTATATACCTATACATGTTTAAAATATATGTATTTTAAACATATTTTTCAGAATATATCTTACAACAATGTTTAGAATGAAAAATATTAACTTTACTGGTAATAAAATACCACAATGAAACAGGCTTTACAAACAAACAGAACAAGCATATGGGAACATTCTTATACAAACAAAAATAGTCTTTTAAAGTTAGTATTTTTTAAAATATAGAAATGTAAGAGTTTAGTTTTTGACTTCCAGGGTTCAAATCCACCATAGTTTTAAAGAATTTTAAAAGAATTTTAAGAATTTTAAACTGTTCACAATGTATTCAGAAAAAAATTAGCCTCATAATTCTGTTAGATCTGTTGTGATTCTGAACAAAGCCACTATCTGACATGTAGAAAATACTTAATCACAAAAGTAACAACCAATAAGTTTGAAAGGTTTCTTGCAGGAACAAGGCAATACAAAACTTATCTTGGAATATCTGAACATTCACGACTGTCAGCAAGGATAGACATTTGAATGACTATTAAATAAGAAAAATAGCTATTTTTTTAAGGGTTATATAGGTTGAATGGAGAATAACTCTATCTGTATATGTGCATATGTATAGACACACAAAACGCCTATCTATATTTGCATTAACGTAGTATTCAGCCACTTGAGCACAAACTGGTTTTCCCTTCACAGGATCCCTGCACTTCAAAATTGAAAATGCTCAGGAAACAAAGCAAGTGGCAAACTAAATTGTTATGCAGTTTAGTCATACAGCACACATATCTTCCTTTCTCAAGTGACAAACTGTATACAATGACTAACTTTTTCTTTCCCCCGTTTTTCTGGTGCTCATCACTACAGCGGATCAAATGTCCCAACCACACACGAGGTGGCCACATGTGATTTCCACATTCCTCCTCAGAAGAGAGGATGTTCAGAGGCTTCCCTCAAGTGCCTGTACACTAACTTGCAGAGCCTGGATCAGAAGCAAGGAGAACTGAAAGTCCATAGTGAATCACAAGTCTGTGAACCTGCCTGGAATCACAGAGTAGTAGTGGGACAGGGCTCATGGCTGAGGCATGGTCACTGATGGGTACAGCTGGCTTCAGAAAGAAGGGGGTGGGGAGGGAGAAGAGTGGCACTCCATACAGATAAGTTCCTGGATGGTACCAAGTGCCAGCATGAAACAGAGGTTCTATTCATTGGCAGTTTCTGGGTCAGGATTAGAAGGCAAAGTGATATTTGTCATGTTATAATGGGGGTTTGCTACCAACCATGCATTGAAGAACATGAAGATGATGAAGAGGACAACTCTCTACAACAACAAGCAGAAGTCTCCTGATCGGAGGTCCTTATCCTCATGGCAGACTTCAACTACTTGGACATCCAGCCTGTGTAGATGATCCAGGAGATTACTAGGCTATGTTGGTGGCAATTTCCCAGTGCAGCTGCTGGAGAGGCAAGTCAGCCAAGGGTAGGACTTCACTCTACTTGACCTGCTGTTCATCAACAGTAAAGTGCTAGTGACAAATCTGATCAGAGAAGACAGTCTGAGCTGTAGCGACCATGAGATGATTACAGTTAGGATTCAAAGGAAGAGCGGGAAGATGAGCATCAGGGATAGGACTGAGGACTTCAGGAGAGCAGACTTCAGCTTCTATAAGGAATTACTGAGCAGAATCTCCTGAAAAACTGCCATCAGAGGAAAGGTCCAGGAGAGGCACTTGATTTTTAAAGAAAATTTCTTGAGAGTTCAGGAATACAGCATCTCATTGTATAGAAGACAACAAAATTTTGCATAAGGTCAGGTCAGCTAAACTGAGAGTTTCTTAATGAACAAAAATGGAAAATGGGGGGACAGAGAGTCAAGGACAGGATACAAAGGACTATAAAAGTACTGCAGAAGCACTTCCACTTCAGAAGGCCAAAGTCCAGCTGGAGCTAAGGCAAGAGAGGAACATCAAGGGTAAAAAGAAGGGGTTCTACAAGTATTCCAGTAGTGAATGGAACCTCAGAGAAAATGCATGTCTGCTGCTGAATGGGGGAGACAACGGAATGACAGATGATATGAAAAAGACTGAAATACTTGACATCTTTTTTGCCCAAGTCATCACATGCAACACCAGCTCCCAACTCCCAAATGCATGCATGCAAAACAGCATGATTTGTGAAGGAGAGAGGAGGAGAGAAGCAACAAAGCAACGGGGCCAAACAGATGCCTCTTCATTAATCTAGTCCAGAAACACTCTCCGAACAGAGATATATCAAGAACTCACTACTTTAGCTGGCAGTGTGGGTTGAAGTGTGGGCTATTCAGTAATCTGGTAATCAGACCTGAGGTCCCTGGGAATGCAGCTAATGAGGAACACACCAACTGTGGACATGTGCCAGACTGTCCAGTGTCTGGAGAAGAGACAGGCATACAGCAAAGCATCTGTCGCATTTGTAGCATGTGACCGAACCACAAGTCTCTTCTCTTCTTGCAGTCTTCTGCTCATTCTTTAACAACATTCCAACTCCTGAATTAAGTAATGTAGGTCAAACACAAAATATCCCCTCTACAGAATCCCTGACCTTTCTGCTTATATTTCTCCCTACAAGGTGAGAAAAGTTGAAAAGAACTATTTAAAGTAGAATGGAATTATTTGAAAACCTACGTTTCCTTAAAATTCAAGTGCTTCATTTCACAACTTTGTAACTTTTAAATCACACTAAAAGAACCCAAAAGACATTGAGATACAACATAAAAAATAGGATAAAATGAAAATAAACCCCACCCCAGCACATGTAACAATGGTCTGAAGAATGATCTTGAAATTGCTGTTCTGCAATATCTGCTGCTACAGCTTGACCTACAGCTAACTATGACGCCAGAAAAAAGTTTCTGCGAATCAGAAAATAGAGGAGAATGTATAATACCAAACCAAGCAATTATATTCACCAAGGTACCTACTTTTGTGGACTCCATGAAACGACGATAAAAGCTATGCTGACTGTCTTCATAAAGCAGGGAGATTAAATGAAAATCATTTGAACTGGTTATGTTAAAGAAAAGAGTAGAGCAAATCTAGTGGATTTCTGCTGGCTACACCAATGCTGCTAAAAGCAAGTAAACACCCAAGTATACCCCAAAACAGACAACCTCTAGTTTCTGAGACAACTGGCACAGATGGGCTTGAGACCACACAATTCATTTACAGTTGATTAGCCATATCCATGCTTCATATTTGTCCTAGATCACCTTTAATTCTTAGGTGGTAGCCCTTTGATTCTAAACCCAGGTTTTGACACTATGACTTTTTTCCCCCCGCTTACTGTGGATGAAATAACAGGAGGGTTGTACTGCAGCTTACCACGATGATGTTTTTATGGTACTATAATAAGGATGCAAAGGTGTTGTGTACCCAGGAATATGGCACAAATGCTTCACAGTGTTTGGCCATTTTGAGGGGAGCCAGCTTCTCCTGATCGCCTGTAAGAAACTATGTCAGGACCGTATCGTATTTTGGCCACAGGTAACTAGCTGATTTGTTCCACAACAGGACAGAAGAGTAACGTAACACACACTGTGTAGAGGTGAGTGACAGCAAGCAGATTAAGGGCTCAGGGAAAAAAAAAAATTACTGTGTGTCAACTTTGTCATGCTAATCCAACAACAAATGATCAACAACTCAGGTTAGCCTAATATTGTGTGGATTTATCTAAATTTATTACAGGTTGAGAGCTCATACTCCAGCATTACTAAGATAACCTGTGCATCTGAATGTATATCAGTGTGAATTCATATTGCTGCAAATGATGGTGATTCTTTTGTCTGGACTATGTATTTGTTTATCAAATCAGTCAAATTTGAACAGACTCTCCTGGCATTTGCAAGAGAGATTTTTCTGATTCTTAGGAAATATCAAGCCTTGCTACAAACAATGGTGATATCAAAATACCTCAAAAGGAAGTTTACAAGTACTTTTAAGATGTATTATATTAGGAAACAAAGATAAAAAGTGACTTACATATTTTCCTATATATTACAGGCAGAAAATAACATACATTTTCCTACCTTCATAAGATCAAGTAATACACCACTTAAAATTCCCAAGTATCTTCTCTCTAAAGATTGTGGATGATTGACTGCTGGAAACTGTAAAAATAATATAGCATAAATATACTGAGAATGTAAACAAGGTATACATGAATACAATTTCAAAAAATAGAAACTACTATTCTGAATAGAATTGTAGAATAGAATAGTGAATAAAGGCATGTAATTAATGGGAATCATATGAACTGAAAAAGTTAGTGGTTTATGAAACATTATGAAACACATAATGAAACAAATAACTGTTGATGTAGGGTATGAATCTAGTCAACCAAAGAAAGTATTCTTGATCAGTAGGACAGTCAAGGAACCTCTCTCAAATGAGAAATAATCAACTTAGATTTATAAATGTGTTTGTGGCTTTATGATTGACAAAAGGTGGGTGGTTTAAAATAGATTCAGAAATAACATAAGTAAAATATATTTTAAAAAAAAGGATTTAAAATAGCTTTGAGTGAATTTGAGAGTGCAAATATGGTACTAATTAAATACCAAAGATTAACAGACAATTCCAAAATATTTTTAGTGAAAAAGATCAAACCCCCAAAGGTTTATGGTTCAGGATTACTTCTGTGGTCATGCTACAGTAAGAACTGGCAACACCATGGGAAGTAGTGCACACTGCCAGAGGGCATCTTTTGTCAACTAGAGTCTGGACAAAACCCGATGAAGGCAGTATTTGAAACTGTAGCCCCGTCTGGAAAGAAGAACAGGACAGGCAGGGATGATTTCAAGAAAGAAAAAATAAAGCACAGAATTGGGTATTTCGGCTTGCTTGCAAACAAGACAGGAGTCAAATAAAATGAAGACCAAATCTTTTCTTTTTATCCAATGAAAGAAGATTTGCTCAATATTTCATTGCTGTAACGTAACGTCAAGTACAATGCGTTGAAAAGAAACAAGATGACAGAGATCCATTTCCAGACCGTGGCACATGAACTGACAGCAAACAAATAGATAAACTGATTTCAGTGAGGTAACTTCAAATTTAAAAGCTAAACATATATACCAGTGTTTTTGGAATTAGAAAGTAAGGCTGGATTTTCAACAGAGGCATAAAAAAACCTTATGGATCCAACTTATGCTGATTTTAGAGAAAATGACACATTTGAATACCAGAGAAGTCTCTGGAAAAAACCCAAATCGAACCAAAACAACAATCAGCCAGCCTATTGGCATTAATCACAGTTTATCCAAAACTATGTGACTCAGATCCAGAGACTTTGTTAGCAGTTCCCAGAGTTGTGGAATTTGCCTAATACTATGCGAGTGTTTCAATTGCAGCCTGGCTTGATCCCATCCACATCCTCTGTATTTTCCAAAATGTCCTCTGAAGCTAACACGTCAAAGCAAGAACACTGACAATAGGAAGCATGCAGTGTATTTCTCTACTGGTCCATAAAAGCCATCACTGTATGTCCAAGTGGGCTCAAGTCATACATAAAATATACCCACATAAAATACTGACTTACAGTTAAAAATCACTGAAAATACAAGAAAATAACAAAATTCCAAGTCACTGATTAAGACAGACTACAGCAACAACAACAAAAAAAAATCAACAAACATGAAGATAAACATTTTATGTGGAAGTTTGCTTCAGGATAAAACCACATGAGAACTATATGTTTGCTCTGAAATGTCAATGAGCAGGAAGTCTTAAAGACTTTAATTCCTTTACTTTCACTTGTGCATTTTCCAGCTCTCATTTATATCTTGGGATTGTTACAGTTAGGTGCGTATATTTACATTCACCTTCCTCATTAAATACTGGCTTCAAACCTATGCTTTAAAGAGCAACCCAGTACAAACACTCATTTCCAAAAATGCATTTTATTTGGAAGCAAAATGCATTGCCTGCGCACTGTATGTGCATAAGTGTTAGACCACTAAGAATTGCTGCCCATTCTTTGTACTGGCATTACTCTTCATAAGTTACATTATGTGAGCTTTGAAGGAAAATGAAAGATCATCAGTTTGAATGTGTTTGTTGCAAAATAGTCTCTGTATTTTTCTTTTTACTTTGCTTTCTTTTGAAGTGGTTTACTAATGATTGAGAATTTTTTTTAAGTCCAAGTCTGCTATGTTGATCTTAGATAGTAACTTAGGTGAACCAAAGCTTCCATGCTTCCTCCACTTTTTACAGGAACCAAATGGCAAAATATTCATGTCTTCACGTAGAATGACCATCATAAAGAAGGTTTTACATCTGGAATGGTCAGGGAAACATGAAAATGTGCTGAAGCCATGCAAAGCAGTAATAAGAGATGGCCATTCACTGGAATTGTTCAGATTTTCCAGTTTATTTATAACTTATTTGTAGAATAATATTTATGGCCCTACATTACCACTCACATTTTCCATAAAGGCCTGAGCCTATTGGTACTTTCTGATCCCATATTTTTTATTTCCTTGGGCCTTCAACATACCATGGATGTTTTCTTCCTCAAAAGGACTGAAAAGTGATCACTAAATACTCTCTAAAGCTCAAGTGTGAGGAAAATTCTGCTTATGTGTGTGTATATAGATATATATCTCTGCATGGAGGAAATGCACAGGAAGAAAAGACAGAAAAGTGTGCAAATGTGCATCTGTATACATGTGCATGTGGTGCCGGAGAGTTTATATTAGAATTTTTAAAATCCTGTGCTACAGTATGGTAGTACTCACAGTTATGGTAACGTAGACATTCACAAAGCCTAAACATATGGATAAACAATTCCACATCATGGGCTAGTTTCTATCTTGTGAATACCCAGTGCCAGATCCAGCTTGTAAATAATAATTTGCATGATCACAGCATACCTTCTATCTGCTATGCAACAGAACATCTTCCACTATTAAGCACTATGCTACAGTCAGAAAAATGTACTTTTAAGGTTGTCTTATAGCATGGAATAAATTTTTCCCATGAATTAACTAATGAATATCACATTCTGAACCAATAGTTTTTGTAGTATTTTTCATGCTTAAGTCATTATTCAGACTTTACTTCAATATTCAAAACCTACCCTATATTAGAAGGTGTATGTCACTGTTGTCATCATTACTATCCTGACTTTACAGATGGGGCTAACAAGGCAGCAACATGTCTGAGGCCACGTAATAAACCATTGATCCAGGATGAGAACAGAGACTACTGGAATCACTGTATTTTAAAGCTACAAGCAAAGACACTTCATTCTCATTCTAAGACATCACAGATGTCCAAATAAGATTACACGGCACAACTAGAACTGCTGTAAAATAATGTTGAAGAGGTGGTAATTTATTTTGCTTACAACTTTTAAAGTATTGCTTTCCTGATAAGGCGTTACAAATTTTTTTTAAACAGAAAATCCCATCCAGCCCACAGAAACAGAATCAAATACTGACAGGACCTTGCAAGAAATATTTGTCTAATAATTTATTTAAACCCTCCACTGATGGAGGGTCTACAAACTTCAGCAAAACCTCTTAGGAATTATCTATTACTATTATTAGCTAAAATAATTATCCTAACACCTTAAGTCAACTATTTCTTTTCTTATCATCATCAGCTAAACCCAATTTATGGCAACTTTTCACATGTTTTAACACAACTAGATCTCCCCTCTTTCCCCTTCTCATTGTCTAAGTTTTCTCTTTCACAGACTAAAATTCAAATCTTGAGTCTTTAGCACAGATCAGGTCTCCTAAAATCTTTGTGCATCTTTTTATAGGATTTTACGCTAATGATTTCAGACCATTTATCAAGATCATAAATTCGCCTTTCTGAGCAACACTCATTAATAGAAAATGACAGCCAAAACTGAATTACAAGGAAACATGAGTACATTCACTGACTAGGTATTGTTAAAGATAACAGAGCTATTACTTAATATATTGCTTCTGGGATTTTGCCATATGGCGTGTCCCAACTTGAACAGCTTCTCCACACTAGTGAGTCTCTGTCATTACATGGTATTGGCAAACCCCTGAAAGGGGAACAACGCTGTCAGTAGGAAGAGCTTTTTTACTCACATGGCTTACATCAACTCCCCAGGAATATAAGCCAAAAGGGAAAAAGCTCTTCTGCCATGATAGCAGTCTCTATGGCTCAGATTTTTCCAACAGAATAGCCTGAAGACAGCAGGCATGAATTTTCCACCCCCCGAATTGACAGAGCTATGCCACTAAACTTCACAATGTAAACTCATCAGGGCAATGCTGAGCTGGGTATAAATGCTAACTTGCATCCCAAAAAAGTCAAAGAAATGAAAGAAAATCTTTAATCAATTTTTAACAGTAAACCAAACATATTTATAAAACTCAATACTGATATAATCAGAACTTTACTTTGAATTATGAATGCCTTATAATCTAAATATCCTATACTTACACAGAAACATGTGCAATAGATAATGCACAATGTAAATTAAAAGAACCTTCACAGCAACAATGACAATGGTGTAAATACTATGTGAGTAAATTAAAAAAAAAAAAAAAAAAAGGACAAAACTTTCTCTCACCCGCAAGCCATGGAAGCGTGGGTTGCTGTAGAAGAGCTTCATCTGCTCGGCTGGCAGTGGGCCTAGCACCTTCTGAATGGTAAAGAGCTGGTCAATCTCGCTCTCGCCTGGAAACAAGGGCTGCCCATCACTCAGCTCTCCCAGAATACAGCCTACAGACCACATATCCACAGCCTTTCCATAAGGAGCCCTGTAAAGTGAACGTACAATGTTTTTCACCCACTGACACTGTCTTCTTACTGAGTTGCTTCAATTAATTGGCCATATTTCCCAAGGTCTGCTTCCTTACAACACAGAAAAATGAACTTCAATATTAAAGAAACTACCTCAAATACCAAGCCCTCTGTATCTCCCTGGATTGCCTGATGTATTGCTGCTTGAAAAGGCAGGAGAGAAATTCTCAAGTACACCCAGGGATCTGGTTACCTTTGTGCAAAATATTACATACAAGAATAATTTTTTTGACTGCGAAGCAGTTATCATTCCCAGTTAGTGCTAGTTTAACTTCCCTTCTCTCCAGTGGTTAATGACTCTGCTCTATTTCTGCATTACATTTCTTTTTCCATTGTGCTTACAAGAGGGGATAGGCATACTGGGTCTCCACTGGGAGAACAGAAGTGATAACAAATCTTTGTTTCAGCATTCATACAGTGAAATCTTAATTACAGAGAAAACAGAATGCCCCTGAAAACTATTCCTTAAAAAACACAGGTGAGGAAGCAATGAAAGCATCGTAAAAGAAGTAACTCCTGGTTTGGAGTAAAGCCACAGGTGGGGTTTTGGGGAGAAATTCTGATGGGTGGTCTCTGGGTGTGCAAGCAATGTCGTGTGGTGGGGAGCATGGCCTCTGGTATCTTAAACTGCTGATGACAAAAGAAGCTAGGTCAGCAATGAAGACGTGTAGGTAATTAATCAGAAACAAAACTAAGTGGTGGGAGTGTTACACCAGCAAGGGCTATACCAGCTTTTCTTGAGACTACATACAAGGGTATTTAATGGAAGAAGAGGCAACATTGGTACTCTGGTGAGGAGAGACTATGGGCCTGAGGACAGTTTGTAAGACATGTAGGACAGAAAATCGGAATGTAAAGAATGGAAGTTCATATGAAAAGAAGAGAGTGGTAGACTACTGCAACATTCAATCTAAAGGCACGAGCATTGAAGAAACACGGAATCCTTTTGGACAGTTTCTGATCTTCACTCTAAGGTTCTGTTCCTCAGCAAGCTTGTTTAGCTGCCCTACCTCAATTGTGCAACAGCTAACACATTACATACTTTTAGCTTTTCATTGTTCCTACTATAAACAAAAGCAACTCCTTTTCTGAGGCCCAAGTCCATGCTTGTTGAATTTGTAAAAAAATTTTTGTAAACATCCAACTTATTCCAAGAATCTCTTTTGGATGTTTAGGTTTTGAGCAGAACGAACAGAGAATTCTTCTCATGTCAAAGAAAAAGCATATAAACCGATTAAAGACTAACAAAGATTGAACTGAAAACATATTTCACTGAGTGTCTTCTTTTTGAAACTTGTAATCCAACAACTTAACCTATGTTTCAAGAGATTTTTAAGTTACAGCTGGCCTGCCTATTTCTGGAATAAGATACTACCAGGGTTGCATGTGACAAACCCTGTCCTAAATCTGTTCTCCTTTGCTTCTTTCTTATGCTGATGATTTAAAGACGTTTTAGAGAGAGAACACCTGCAGACTAAAGAAAAGAAATACCTGAATTTTCCCCAATGATTACTTATGATTAGTTACTTCACTTTGTGGGGAGGACACTTGGCCAGAGGACCCTGTAACCCTTGTGATGATATAGTTAGGCGAAGGTGAGAAAGCATTTCTAGCTGGACAATAGCCTGAGATGCCTAGTGCAGGAGTCTACGGTAGCTAGGAAAGCTGAAGTAGGACACCAACGTTTCAAGAACTGTTTGCCTTTCAGAATCTGCCACAAGACACTGCAGTCCTTTCACAATCAATCATCACAAAATCAAAGTTTGCCCCATTGACTGCTGACAAGGAACTACCAGCGGCAAAGCAGAGCGTGCCAAAACTCCTGAAGTACTACTACTACAATGGCTCTGTGCCTTCATAATTCCCTTACTAATCTTGCATAGTGACCGCCTGTGGATTTGCTGAGAGACTCAACGTTTGTCCTTTCTGTGATGCTGCTAGTCCAACCCACCCATTAGGTCAGGTCCAAGAGCCAAGAAAGGACTAGTTTTTCTCCACACTGCAAAAGGCAACACAGATGAGAACAGACTCCAAAGCCAAGGATCTGCTCTTAAGATATTCTGTGCCTGTACTGGAAAACTGAGGCTCTGTAAGCAAAACAGTTTGTGAGAGTGGAACTAAAAAACCTACCTTTTTATTAAGACTGAAAACCAAGCACATCTTTATCTGCAAACCCTTTAATAGGCAGGTTTCTCCACTGAAATGTGAAATGGGAAAGGTTGCTGTAGGCTGTGGCATTGGAGAACAAGCTAGGGTTACAACTGAGGGATGGGCTAAAACTCCTTCGAGGCAGGGGCCATTACCTTTCCTTGCTCACAAGAACAAAGGAAGCTGAATAATAGTTTTAGAAGTTTCCACTATTTACTCCATAGTCAAACAGAAACAAATCAGAAAATACCCATTTCTTAAGGCAGTGGCAGAGTAAACTGCAACTTTTTTTCTTTGAAAAGGGATGTTCAAGACTCCTGTTCTGCTGACTGTCAGGATCAGCCTTGTCAGATCACAACAGGCAAACAACGCAAGAGTGATGTGGCTGGATCAATGAAATAACTCCTACAGGACAGAAAGACCACAAATCAGAAGTACTACAGTCTATTCCTGCACAAATTAGATTCTCCAAAACATGTTTTCATCTAGTAATTTGGTATGCCTTAAAATCTCCTGGCTTTTAGCAATATTTTGTCATCAAAGGGTACAGAGTACTCGACTAACAGTTACCTGAGGCTCTCCAAAGTGAGTAGATTTTGGATGTTCTGTGAATAATTAGGCAGTGATTTCTTTCCTCTCCTGAAATTTAAGCCTTGAACTTTATTGCAAAACAGGAACCTCTCTGGGACACATTTTAAAAATTGAAAAAGTAAACCTGTATTTGTTAAAATGTATGCATTTAATAACCCTGGGAAGACTTTTGAGTATTAGATGCTTATAAAGATTTGGTAAACGCAGGAGAAGGGGGAATGGGTAAGATGAGTGTCTTGGAAATAGAACAGGACTGCCACGAAACAGATACCACTTTGTGCCAGAAAAACTTGGCATTAAAAGCATACACCAACAAAGTTGAAATCACAGGCATTAAATACACATACTCCCTCCCTTTCTCTACAAGCTAATCAAACAAATTTAGTCAATTACAAACACACGTGATTCCTGCGAAATTTCCTTTGGTAACGAAGCAGTTTTGAAAACTGCAGGTCAGATTAATACTATGTCTGTGAAGCTTTTCATGTCTTTCCTCCTAAATCATCATTACTACTATTAGACAAAGAATAAAATGTTGTCTAACTAAAAAGGCCACAATTGATGCGTTCTTTCCAAGTCTTTTTTATACTTACATATACACACATGCACTTTGCTGGAAGCTTAATAATATCTGTTTTCTCCAAAATATGAAAAACTGAGCTTTGAGGTTTTTAATGGCAACTTTAACATACTATTCTGCACATAACAATGCAACTGCCTACCAATTTGATTGATTAACACAGCTCTGGGAATAACGGGATGACTTTATTGACAGAATAATTATTACCTAATGCTTTACCTAATCAAGAGATGTCTAGTTCAGTATTAATGAAAGCTTCCAACAAAGACTTGTTTCTCAGCAGCATGAAAAATTTTGCTTAAAGAATCTTAGGAGTGACCATACTTTTTTGATTCATCCTGTGGCTACCAATTCCTTATTTCTAGAATAAATGTATATAAATACATATATGCTATACATACAGGAACTGTATTCTATAAGAGTGTTCATGTAGTTCAGAATAAAGCACTGTTAAACTTGATAGCAATGGGAAGATCACATATAGTAGATCTCCAGTTATTTTTGTCTCTTCCTTTGCCCTTTTGGGTCCTATGAATTTGTTCATACAGTATCCGAGAATCTGTTTAACCTTATGAGGTAGTAAAACACTCATTTTACAGATTAATAAAAGAGTAAAACTAAATTGTCTGGCTGAGGCTAGTCATGTAATTACTGCTTTCATAGGCAATGCAACACTAACTTCTCAGTGCTTTATTAAAAGATTCATACAGCCTCCTTCAAGAAAGTCTTCCTGACTAGTAAAAGGTTAGCACCATCCTTCAGAGCTACTTCAGCAGTGCTGGGAAAGGCTAACTGGGAATTAAACCCAAATCCTAGTTTTAACCCAAAGGATGAAGAGAACTAGGAGTGTAGCATGGTGAAAGCTGCATTGTCATTGCTATGTGATGTCCACCATGAGGCTGATGGAACATTTCAGGCTACAGGACTACCATGGAAACCTCTTCCGAAAAGAATGGTGGTGGTGGGCAGGAATCTGAAGTACATCTGTTATAATTCAGCTTCATATTTTAATCAGTTGAACACTGCTCAGCTCAAGTGTCCTGGTTTCATTAATTTTCTTCCTAGTAGCTGGTATGGTGCTGTGTTTCGGATTTGGGATGAGAATGGTATTGATAACACACTGATGTTTTGGTTGTTGCTAGGCAACGTTACACCAAGTCAAGGACTTTTCGGCTTCTCATACTGCCCCACCAGCAAGGAAGCTGGGGGTGCACAAGAAGCTGTGAGGGGACACGGCCAGGACAGCTGACCCAAACTGGCCAAAGGGATATTCACAGAATCACAGAATGGTAGGGGTTGGAAGGGAGCTCTGGAGATCATCTAGTCCAACCCCCCTGCTAGAGCAGAATCATGTCCAGGTGGGTTTTGAGTATCTCCAGAGAAGGAGACTCCACAACCTCTCTGGGCAGCCTGTTCCAGTGCTCTGTTGCCCTCACAGTGAAGTAGTCTTTCCTCATATTTAGGTGGAACTTCCTGTGTTCCAGTTTGTGCCCATTGCCCCTTGTCCTGTCACTGGGCACCACTGAGAAGAGTCTGGCCCCATCCTCTTGACACCCGCCATTGAGATATTTATAAGCGTTGATAAGATCCCCTCTCAGTTTTCTCCAGGGTAAACAGACCCAGCTCTCTCAGCTTTTCCTCATATGAGAGAGAATGCCATATGACATCATGCTTAGTATATAAACTTAGGGGAAGCTGAGTGGGGGTGTGATCGCTGCTCAGGGATGGGACGGCCATCGGTCAACAGGTGGTGAGCAACTGCATTGTGCATCACTCATTTTGTATATTCTTTTATCATTATTATTATTTTTCTCTTCCTTTGCTGTCCTAATAAACTGTCTTTTTCTCAACCCATGAATTTTACTTTCTTTTTTTTTTTATTCTTCTCCCCATCCCACTGAGGGGGGGGAGTAGTGAGCAAGTAGCTGTGTGGTACTTAGTTGCTGGCTGGGGTTAAATCATGACATCAAGGTAGGTCAACATGTCAATGATTCATGACAACCTACTGGAAATGAACAAAAATTAATGAAAATCTGGAAGCTTCTCGAAATCCTCTCTTTAAATCAACCACAGCTCTCCATGGGCAAATCTTACAAAAGGTGCTTGAAAAAATGTAAAGAATCAGTCAAGATTTATCATGGCAGTTCTACAAACTGTACTTACCCAAGCAAGAGTTCAGGTGAGCGGTACCATCTGGTAGCCACATATTCTGTATAGTTAGCATTGCTTCCTTCAGAGAGATTACGAGCAAAGCCTGTCAAAGAAACAGTGTGAAAGATTGTATCCTATTGTAAATACGATATGCATATCATCACTGATTTTGGCAGTAAGAGGTCACGTCTATTTATATAGGAGCAAATTGTTTACAACCCCTAGTGCAGAATGATGTCTCCAGCAATTGTCTACTGAAATACAAGCTTTTATTGATACGACAGTGAAAGTCAGCGTGTCTGCTTTAATGACTGCTTTACTTGCATACTCTCCTCAGAAGTCTATGGGGTTTTGCTATGACTTTTGGTGCTTGGCCATAATCAAAACAGATTGATAAAAGTTACCTGTCAGTATGCCATGCAAGCTATTGAACTATTGCCACTAAATTACACAAAGATGCTGTTTGCAAAGATTTATAACATTAGAAATGTAACATATGCACGGGGAGTAGACTCTTCCAATCATTGATCCTAACTACTACAGTCTCACTGCATTGCATTTTTTAAACTGGTCAAGAAACTACGTATTATTTTCATCTAAGGAGAGATTCCTCCTGCACATCATTTTGTTAAGAATAAGAAAAAGTATACTTATTTGCAATTGTACCGAAACTTAACTTCTGTCCTAAGGCATAACAATTAAGACTACCGACTGTTAGAAGAGTGCAATACTGGAAACCCCAGATGTAGGAATAATTTATATTTTTGTTTTCATTCTCCTCCATTTTTAAAAAGTGAGCCGAGCACCACAGTAATGACGTTACTGGAGTTTTCATGTAGAAGTTCTATAGGGCAGATGCTGGCACTGTTATCAGAAAAGTATCAAGTGTCTTAATGTTTTCAAAGAAATGATTAATATTAAGGTGAGATAGGACATACAGATCTCAGCAGCAAGACTCCAGATGTGTAAGCTCCTTCTTAGAGCTCAAACTGAGACAAATTTTTGGGACTGAAATGCAGACGTAACATTTTCAAAATGCTTTCTTACTGGGATATAGCATTTAAACTTGGTCCAAAATTCACTTCAGTGAAATCATTATGAGTCTTTCCATTACTGCATGAATGATGAAGAAAGAATAAAAATTCCAAAGGGTTGCAGAGGTGTAAGGCATAATTTCATTTTCAGAATCACTAAGTGCTACTTAAATACAAGAGTCATTTTTCTTTACATCTGAGTTCTTATGCAGAAGCTGCCAAAATTGCTTTTCCTACATGATTATCCTTATAAGGCTGTAATTTTTAAATTTTTTTTTTTTTTTTATTCTGACAGTGTATCTCATTTGGCAGCTTATTGTGAAGGAGCCCAGCTCTGCTCACCCCAGTGGAACACTAATTTACTCCAAGTTGAAGTAAAGGTTTGGATGCAGATATTCTTATTAGTGATTTGAGAAAACAATGATAAATTGGTTACTGACAGAGGTTACACAGCTGTTACTTTCTGCAAGATACCTCTACCTTCAAGAGTTAGTAAACCAAAAGGCATATATGATGAAGAATAGATATTTCAAAGTTGTCCCAAAATAATAATAATTCTGATGTGTTCCCATAAAGTCTAATGAACATTACTGATGGTGCTGGAGAAAAGCTGGAAAAGAATTATTACATGTAACATTGGGTTTGGGTAAATTTCTAAACATTACTATATTTAGAACTGCTTAGACAGCCCTGTTTCTTTTTCAAATTACATGACCCACCTGATTAATCTTGTCAGTGAAAAATTAATTCACGTGTTTAAAGAAGAGAGGGAAGATAACCAGGAGCTACACTGAAGAAATGGGACAGCCAAAGTGGACAGTGGGAAGTCCCAAACTGAACGGGGAGTAGGAAGGCGTCGCATGATACAAATAAACCCATGCTCATCTAAGGCTCAAGGCTGACAGCCCACCAGCCTATGCGCACCAGAAGAATCACAGAATGGTAGGGCCTGGAAGGGAGCTCTGGAGATCATCTAGTCCACCCCCCCTGCTAAAGTAGGATCACCTAGAGCAGGTTGCACAAGATTCGACAAGTCAAGGATGCATCCTCCTCCCTCCAGGTCAGTCTATTGAACTTGGGTACGGTCAGCAGCTACTATGTTCAGAGATCAGCAGCAGCTAACGTAGTCTGAAAAAAGGATTAGCCCCCAACTTTACAGACTAGGTGCAGCATAGATTTGATGTGGCAAGACAGAAAGGAAAATTATCATCATGGGCTTCAGTGTCATCTACATATTGTTTGGTGATGCAAGAAACAATCTTACGGATTTGCTACTGCTCTGATTCTGTGAGATGATACTGAAGGATGGTGGACAGAATTAACAATTCAAGAAAGCATAATACCTTTCTAAGGGCACAATTACTTTTTTATGTTGTGGTGGAGTTAACCTATTATTCCTCGCTCCATATTGTGCTGAGGTATTAAGAAGAATTTTTTGATACAAAAAATATGACAAGGGAGAAGATTAGACCAAACTCTAAAGAGTGAGAAGGAATAGATTAGAACATGAAGACAGAAGGCGATTTGGGTGAGAGCAACTACGAAAGCAATATAGTTTGCAAATGCATCATGATGCAAGGAGGGAGAACAAGCCAAATGAGAGATTTCAAGCAGGGACTTTAAAACAACTCAGAACAGGGTAGGAGAGATGTCAAGGAGAAAGGCGTGAGGAAAAAAGGAGATTTTCAGTTACTTATAGAGAAATAAGGCAAATTTAAGTTAGACATAAAGTAAAGCATTCTAACATCAATGACTTGCAAGTACTTAAGTAGGTGCCTAGGAACACTAGGGAACCTCCGTTACTGACAATTTTAAGAATAAGCTAAGCAAACACCTGTCAAGAATGACACAGACATGCTTAATCCTTTCTTTGAGTAGGTGGAAGAACTAGAGAATTTCTTGAGGTCTTTTCCAGTCCTGCGTTTCACGATTTCTATGCTACGCATCATACAGAGATTAAGAGATTGCTAAAACAAGTAATTTTGAAGCTCTGGTGTTGAAACAGCAAACACACTAGTCAGAAAGCCTATTTCCAACAGTCAGATGCATCTGCTGTAACTGGCATTTTGTACTGTTCTCTTTTTCCACTTCTATTGGCAGAAATGACACCCACACAACATGTGTCCAGGCAAGTACCACATTCAATCTCATTTTTATCTAGCACGATATGTACAGAACACATGGCACAAGGATTATGAAGAACTATCTTGTTAAAAATTTATGAACGTTTCTATTCAAACTGTTTTGTCCACTGGACTATTCAGAAACATGCAATTACTTCCATATCTGCATTGGGATGGATGCATAGATCTTTTCTTTGCATTGGTTATCACATGAGGAATGTGGCACTCTAAGTGACAAGTACCTGTGTTCCAAAGCATGATTTAAGTTAGGTAGGCAGACAGCATATGTTAAATCACAGAATCATAGAATTGTTTAGGTTGGAAAAGACCTTTAAGATCATCGAGTCCAACCATAAACCTAACACTACCAACTCCAACTCCACCACTAAACCATGTCCCTAAGTGCCACATCTACATGCCTTTTAAATACCTCCAGGGATGGCGACTCAACCACTTCCCTGGGCAGCCTGCGCGTGATAACCCTTTTGGTGAAGAATTTTTTCCTGATATCCAGTCTAAACCTCCCTCAGCGCAACTTGAGGCCATTTCCTCTTGTCCTGTCACTTGTTACTTGGGAGAAGTGACCAACAGCCATCTGGCTACAACCTCTTTTTCATATTAAAAGGCAAATTCTTATATTCTAATCTGTACATGTGTTCGGGAAATGCTTGTGGCTAATACCATTTTGACAGACATTTTACAGTAATAGCTTAAGCTACTAGCAATAATGTTGATTAGCAATAAGGCTAAAAAATTAAAACTGATCGCAAATTATACGGGTTGCTTGGAATTTTAAATTCAACTAACCCACATGAACAATAAGAACATCAGAAATTCCCATAATTTAGTTTGTCTTCCTTCAGGTTGTGCCAAGCACTGCGAGTACATTGTGATTGAATGCCTTTTTCAACAGCAGAAAGAGAACGTGGCTGGAGAGCAGAGTATGAGAAAGCCAATGGACCAGAACATCACTGCTGACAGAATTCACATCATCTATATCTAGTGAGAAAACTGTCATCCAAGACGCGATCATAGCATTTGTCTGGCTTTTTGTTTTCCCATAATACTGCTGCACAGAGGATGCTGACAGGAGTTCACACGCAAAGATTTGTTAGATGAAGGCATATGCCAACTCTAACAGTGAATGTCACTTTCAGGGGGGATGTTCTGTGCCCCACAGGGGGGATGGTCTGGGCCCCCCCCCCCCCCCCCCCCCCCCAAACAAAACAACAACCAACCAATCCATGAGGGAGTGAGCGCAAGGGCCAGTGAAGGCTCTTCCCCATGGCTGGGGAAGGAGGTGGGGGTGAACAGTTCCCATCAGGACCCATTCATGCCCCCACTGGCTGTTCCTGCTTATGATACCATTAGCCCTGGTTGGAGCACACATTGCTCAGGGGCAGGCACTGCCCGACAATTGGTTGTTAAGCTCTGCACAAGGCAGTGATTGGGTCCTCTAACCATCCAAAGCTGGCAGAGGGGGCTTATGCATGTGTGAATCATAGAATGGTTTAGGTTGGAAGGGACCTCAATGATCACCTGGTTCCAACCCCCCTGCAATGGACAGGGACCCCCTCCACTAGACCACGTTGCCCAAAGCCCCATCCAACCTGGCCTTGAACACTTCCTGGGATGGGGCATCCACAGCCTCTCTGGGCAACCTGTTCACAGCGAAGAATTTCTTCCTTACATCTAATCTGAACTTACCCTCCTTCAGCTTAAACCCATTACCCCTTGTCCTATCACTACATGCCTTTGTAAACAGTCCCTCTCCAGCTTTCCTGTAGGCCCCCTTCAGGTGAAGGATTGGAGAGAGAGCAAGGTGTACACTATGCCAGCCTTCACCCCTCTGAGAGAGCCCTGGCCCTGCCAACCCCAGTAGGGTTTGCTTTGCAGGGGCAAGGCCCTGAAAAGAAGTGTGGGGTAAGGGAAAATCCTGCCCCACCAGCTCTGGGCTCTGGCAGCGCTGCCAGGGCAGCCTGGGCACAGAGCTGTCAGGGGAGGGGGGCCACAGCGGTGCAGACAGGACACCTGTGGATATCTGAAAGGCAAAGGCACCAAGGGCACCATATAACAGTACCCTGGTGTTCTGTCAGAGCTGTGCAGTTCCTTGCATTGCAGAATAAATTGCCCTTAATTCAAAGAGCTCATATGGACCAAATCTTCTAAAGCTTCTCCTGGAATGGTTATTGTTTCTGAATGCTTAAGCAAAAATGCCTTTAGGATCAAAAGAAATAAGCAGCACTGCAAATGACAAACGCCTTTTTGTGTTCATAAAAAACTATTTCAATCTATTTTTTTTAGCAGTTCTTCTTTTCATTCAAAATTGCAGAGGTTTGAAATGACAGCTTTCAAACTGCTCTCACCGAAAAGTGCCCTTGGGTAGCGCTATGAAATTGTTTTTTATTTACCAAGCCAAACTGTAAGCTTTTGAGAGGGAATAATATTTTATTCTGTGTTTATGGAGCATTTAGAATAAAAATACAGATTGTTGGAACAGTGTACGCTCCGCCCTGTTGTCTTCTGCGGATTACTCACATGGTCAAAGTTCGCCTTGTCCTTGGGTGATGATTCTTCAGATCCTTAAAGCTGATGTTAAGTAGGTATGGATAGGTCAGGAAACATCACATGTACAACTCTGACTAACCTCCAGCCATTCAGTCATTAATCATATGTGGACACATGACTCTTTGAGCAAGAGTAATGTAACAGTAAAAGCTGACCTATAACTACACACATAACAGTCCATGAAAGCCAGTGGTTCAAAAAATATATATAAAAAATACATTTAAAATGCTTATTGTGTCTGTACTAAACAAGAAAGAATTATCTTTTAATACACAGGTCAGATAAACCTAGAGTTTTGCTAGCCTCCTACTCAGCTTATCATCTGCACTTTTCTCAGCTGGGTGCCAGTAACACTGCTAGTGAAAACCTTGTCAAATATAGAAGAGATAAAGGTGTGTTTCTATTGACATGTTAATACAGGTATTTCACAGGGTATGCAAATTAAGCCCAGAGATCGTTCAAATTAAAGTACTAGCCACAAACCTGAAAAAGTAATCAATTCTGACCACTAAAAGGGTTTTAAAGAGCACATACTGTATAACTCATAAGAATAAGGCAAAACTCCTCTGCAAGAGATTTTCTTTAAAAAGGTAAGAAGCAGGTATCTATCTATTGAACTTACCAAAGTCACACAACTTCAGAACATCATTGTGGCTTATTAAGAGATTCTCTGGCTTGATATCTGGTGTATCAGAATGAGAAAGAGAGAGAGAGAGAGAAAAAAACACAGTTAACTTCCCTTTTTAATTTTGAACTTTGTCAACAAATATTATTTCATTATAACGTATTTAGAGATATTCATGCAATCATAAATGAAGCATTACATGAGCAACTGCTGAAACAGCTTCCAGCAATTCAGTTTGTGAACATGCAGGATTAATTTTCTGCCTTTTGAAGTCTTTTAAACTGTTTCCCAACAAAATATGGGAAGATAAAAGGTGCTTTCAGATATATCTGGGCAGCAAACCAACATGCAGAATATTGCATATTGCAAAACAATACAAAGAACTGATATCTTATTACCCAGTTAACCAATAAAATGTTACGCGTGTTGTGCTCAACATTTTCAGTTATGATGATCTTCTTGATCATCTCTTATCATTTGTTTAGAAAAAAATATGCTGTCTAGTTTTAAGCCTGTTTTTTTATTCCTATATGGATATTGTGGTATCCATATAGGGTATATTTTTCAAACTATGTTTTACAAAGTATTTTCAGACTCTTGCTTATGTTTGATCAGTCTCAAATATAAATAGTATATTGTATGAGACTTTTAATTTATTGGAAACATTAGAAATGTTACTCTTGGAAAGCCACAAAGCAAAATACAATTTTATTAAATCAGGATAAAATACAGAACACTAGCTAAAGTCACACATCAAGATATGTACTCTAAGTGCTTGAAGCTTAGAGGGGAAAGTAAATATATAGAGCTGAACTCATGGGAACTGGGAGGAACTGCCTTAAGAAGTAAAACATGGGGGACCAAGCTTTAAGTTCTGGGTTATTTTTCTCCTAATATTCTATTATCAGATTCAAAAGTAAAATGACTGAGCGCCATGAAATGTTTAAAAAAATTCCTTTTCCTTTGGCAACGTCTGTACTGCAGTGCATATGATACATTCTTTGTATCATACCCCAAAGACAGCAGACAGCTAGATTTATATGTAGATGAATTTAGTTTTAAAATGATCTGAAGTCACACAGCAGACATAAGACCCAGCCAAATGTAAAGATTTTTTTTTTCTGTTGATATAAAGCAACTGCTTATATTTATGTTAAATGCAAATTACTTCAAGCCGTACCATCCTTCCCTTTAGAAAACAAATTCTTACCTGGGGCTTATTTCCACGTGGAGAACTACACACTTACCTCTATGAACAATATCATTCTTATGGCACCAATGAATTGCTTTAATTAACTGGTAGATATAGCTTTTCACTTTTTCTGGTGGAACTCCATTGGGCATTTCTTCTAGCAATTCAAGCATATTCTAAATGTTTAAAAGACACATTATTTAGAAGAGTTATACTGTAGTTGCTCGAAGAGAACACGCTTTCAGCATTCTGAAGCAACATACTTAGGCCATCGAGCCTGGCTATGCAAAATCAGCAGTTTAACATTCAAGGAGTGGATTTTAATCATAAGCATACTCCTAGCTGTTTTCATTCTAGGGAAAGCCCTTGTGACGACAATAATCCTTAAAGGTGAACCACAAATATGCCATAAGTCCTTAAAAACTGGCATCAAATCACTTAGCCTAAAACTTCTAAAAAGTCAGTTAGTTACAAAGAGTTGCTTAAACAGAAAGACCAGGTCAGTGTGGCTATAGGAAAAGTTTAGTAGAGCACATTTTGTAAATATTTGACTATGCCTTAACATATTGTTTTCTTCATTATTAAGCTAGTTCTGCTGCTTTGATGTAGCAAGGCCGTGATTAATCACAAACCATGTCTGTATGTGAATGGGTATAGTTAAAACAACACAAGCCTGTTAGTGCCAATGAAGTAACAGGTATAAAAATGCCTCATAGGGGCATAAAGTGTAACCTAGGGAGTATCCTGTAGCTATATATTAGCTATATTGATCTTAGACATATTTGCACTACTGTAACTATGGCCATATTAACTGTTTTATGGATGTACCTAGGGGAAAAAAAAATAAACTGATTGTTTATACTAGCAAATTTCCCTGTGAAAAAGGACACTTAGATTCCCATTATGTTCGCAAATGGCTCCAATTTTGCACAATTAGAAGTACAATGGTGTTTGTACTCTGAATCCTGAATGAATAATGGGCAGCAGCAGCCCACTTGAAGAGAGAAAAGTGTTATTTACTGAATAATGAAACAGAAATAAGTATTTTGGCCATATTGCCTCACACAACTCATTTAATTATGGATTTGAGCACTTGCAGATTTTTCATTTAAAACAAATTTACCTTGTCTTTGACAAACATTTTCTTTAGTTGTATAATAAAATTTTTGAGGTTTCTCTTCTAAGAGATTTTAATGAATACAAATATAAGACAAAACAAATGGAGACTGATAATATTTGAAAACATTTCTAAGTTTTGCAATCTGTGGATAAATGCTGGAAATTATGTGCTTGAGTGTAAGTTTCCTTAGAAATACACTTCAGATCTGAAAAAAGGAATTTTCTGTTAAAGAACCATAATGATTTTAGTTAGACTCTTGTCCACACAGAAGCCTGTGAATCTGGGTAAGTCAGTCAAGAAGTTAGTGTTACAAATACAAACCAGAATAGTAGCATCAACACAGTGAGACATAATCCTATATGAAGACATTAACTAAGGGGATGATGAATAAAGGAGATTAGACTAAATGTGAATTTAAGTAATCTGGATTTGAGTATTGCAGAGCTAAGATCCCTAAAGGACACAAGGTACTCATCATCAGTTAAAACAAAAATTAGCCACTACACCACATTTTATTTAATTCTTTCTACCCTTCCCTCATCCAAAAATACAGAAATCACTAGTCTTCAAAAGAAATTATTGTGGAAATTATTTGACTTATCTGAAAATGAGAAATGTTCGTAGACTGCAAAGTTTAATGAAAATAAAGATGACCATTAATATAGAAATTACATTAGGCATAGTCTATACATGATGCCTTCCTTTATCATTATAGTCTTTTATTCCGATACAAATAATGTTAGATATTGCAGCCTGGTGTTTTTACCAATATTAACAATTTTTGAAGTATACCCCTTATGACATGAATTAAATGTCTTTCACTTATGCTGCGCTTCCAACCCATTACTACGGAGAGCTTACCCAAATCAACTATAATGGAAAATTAAATGTACGTTCTAAGTTGGTGTGCAATGAAAGACATTCCACATGTCTAGAAGAATTACAAGGAACACACGTGGAACAAGTCAAGCTTTGGATGGTAGATCTAAGTAAGCTCCACCACAGTAGAAATTGCTGATCTGCTGGTAAAAAACAAAATTGATTTCTGCCAGACTGTGGGCTAATATAGGTCACTTCACATTATGCAATAAAGTTATACAACATAATAAATTGCAAACTGAGATAAAGGAGACACAGTATTTAGGGTGAGGAATCTTTACACAAGAAATAATTGACTGAAGAGGACTAGCACTCAGCTAGACTGCAATATCACCCTGGCAGGATATTAAATGAAAATTTCAGTCAAGGGAACAATATCCGTGAAAGCTACAGACATACATATATTTAAGCTTGTGTTTATTTTTACTGTGTGTATCTGAATACCATCTAATTATTTCCATGAAGAAATGCTAAATGGACAGAATTCAGAGGGAAGGTCTACCTTCATCATGAAGGTTGCAAAAATAACAAAAGACCAATCTGTTCTAGGTTGTTTCTCCCTGGAAACAGACCAGGATGCTTGGCAGTAATAGGCCAATCTAAGGAACTTTTGGAATCATTTCAAATGAGGTCAAGATTGGATAATGACAGTGATCTTTACCAAATCCCTCTAAGCAACTATTGAAAGTGGCCTTGTTACAGAAATATACAAACAACTCCTATTTTTAACAGGGAAGGATGAAGAAAGTTGAAACAGATTCCAAGGTCAAAAGTCTATGATCTTGTTTTGAAAGACTACGTCAGGATTCATTACACAGCATAAGACAGGACAGTTAATCAGCATTACAATTAAAGTGGACTATAGAATTTGGATGGAATTTTTTCTTCAAATTATATGTATTCCAGTCTACATAATTTGAATATGTTTATGTTCATATATGGAAGAACTTTTTTTTTTTTAAATACCAACACATGAAGTAAAACCAATAGTATAGTTATTAGTATTGCTTTCTCACAATAAATGTCTAATTGCAACAATTCAGATTGTATTAAAGTTTCTGCTGTTCCTCTTTATAGATCAGAATAGCTTAATTTTTAAAAGTAAAAGTAATTTGAGACACTTTTCCAGTAAGCTGATGATTTAACTGCGGCAAGCATACTACAAACTCGACTCACTTTTTCCACATATTCAAAAACTAAGTATAATTTTCCTCTTCTTCTGAAGGCTTCCTTCAGCTCCACTATGTTCTCCTGTTTCAAAGTGCGAAGCATTTTAAGCTCTCGTAAAGTGGTTTCTTTGACTTCTTCATTTTCTAGAGTGCAAAGTAAAAGTGACAGAGTAAAACTTATTAAAAAACAAAACAAAAACCCCAAGTAACAAGTGTCATAAATCTTTATTTTGAACCCCTGATTAAATTCTCTGTTTCTAGATGTTACAGAGAAAAAGGCTTATTTACCAGCGTGGACTCCCTCTGCTGCCTGGATGCTTCTGCACTGGAAGAGAGGTAACTGGTGACTGTGCTATCATTATGCAACCCTCACAGACTTCCCCATCTTTACCATCTAGGTTTTTAGTGGCAGAAAAGTCATAAGAAACAAATCATTTGCATTTCTATCTTTTTCATTATGAAGAGCACTAGTATGCTTTAAAAAATATGCATGTATGTGTGCAGACACATCCTCCACCCCACAAATATGTCACCTGCATGAAGCACTGGCAAGGTTAATACGTCCTCAGCAGAAACACTGGAATGCAAAGCTGATGTTTGAACAACATCAAAGAAATCTATTTGATTCTAAATTAGTTTTATTCTCCAAAAGCCATGACAAATTTTAAGACTGAAGCACACATCTCTAAGTCCTGTAAAGTTTCCCCATAAGGTTTTCAATGGAAATTCAGCAATGCAGACCAGTCTAGCAGTCACAGAGGGCAGTAGAGGAAGTACTGATTCAACGAAGCCTTGAATCTGATTCTGAGTCAAGAAATGTAACTGTTGTTCTGGCAATTCAGTTGTCTAAAAGGTGGTGAAGAAAGAAGGAGTGTTTTACTAAAGCTTTGTACACTGCTTATCATCAAGGGGTCCTGAACTGACTGGGTTCTAAAGGATACTGCCAACATAATGTCAAATTATATTAGGGTTGTTTTTTTCATTTAGTAAAATGAAATCCATTAATTCATTAAATTGCCAATGCACATGTAGAAGCAGGGTTCTCAATCTCTTAGAACTGTTATTGACAACAGAGGAATATTAAATGGGATATGATTGCATAAATTCAAAGCTAAATCACATTTCCAGGTCATGTACCACAAAGACAGTCAGAGACAGAGCAAGAAGAAACAAGGAAGAGAAATTGTTTTTCCAATCAAGCAAAAGGCAAAAACAGGTTTGCAGGGGACAGAGAATAACACAGGTCCTGCAGACGCATATAATCATCATCAGAAGAGAGGAAAAAAAAATTTGAAGTGTAGCAGGAAAAAAGAGGAAAACAAAATACTATCATCACAAATGTTTTGATTAAAAAAATATATAATTTAGAGCAATCTAAATCATTTCATTTTAAAACTGAGTGCTCAGTGTTGGCTTGCATCAGCCTGATTACATAATTTCATCTATAACTAGACACACTTTCCAGTGCATTTAGCATGCATGTGTCAAACAACAGCAAAAATTCAGTGAAACAAAAATGGCAATAGAAACAATTAGAGTATATTCAGATTTCTAATGAACTACCATATTAACAAGACAGATGTGAAATGGGCTGAATCCAATCCATGAAAAGAACTTCTGTCAGATTTCCAGAAACTTGTAAACAACTAGCTACAACTCTGAAAAGCAGTCATCAGTCATTTAAAGTGATATTACATAATACTCTTAGAAAGCCAGACCCAATGGCAATGTTGCATTTTTTGTTTTCATTTTTTGGTAGACAGGCAAATATAATAATCCTGTTTAGGGCTTAACTCTGAGATTCATTGCCTAGGATCTGTACTGAATAGCCATACTGAGTTCCAAAAAGCAACACTGAAGTACTCTCATGACCTGGTCAAGATGGTTACCACAATGATCTCATCTCCTACATTCTTTAACAGGGATTTAAAATGGATTTCTGAACAGCAGAGCTAAAAGTGTCTGGCAAAATCAGCTGCAAAGCAAAGAGTTTGCATTGCATAAAACAACAGACACAAATCTGACTTTGCTGTGCCTAACTGGCTCCGAAAATTACAGTTCTTGTAACCAACCACACCTCCATGGCCACCAGCAATCCTATAACAATAGCAAAAAAGAAAAGTTTGCTAAAATAAAGTGCCTGCTGTTTCTTTAAACCACATCATTAGCTTTCAGCTAAAGCCTTTGTACACGGCAAATCATAGCTGCATCGCCTCAGACCAGGACGACTCGTCTTATTACTTCATACCTGGCTTCTTCTGTTTGTGCTAGCCCATCAGGGATCTTCTACCTTCTACGCAAGGTAGACAGTTGCTCTCGTGATTGATTGCCAGCTTTGCCTATGACAGGATACTTGGATTCACTGTCCCCCAACAAGCACGGGTCAGAGAGCCGGTCTTGTCTTGTACAGATCTTTGGGCTTATGACTGCTGGGTGAGGAACAGGTGTGTGCAGCACTGGCAATACTTTCTGTGCATCCTGCCTTCTGCCACCCACTTTGCCAGCAACAGAAAGCCTTGCAGGAATCGGCTCTTCTCCCCTCTCAGCAAACTCAGCAACACTGCAGAGTACGCACAGGCTGCTGTGAGGGGGCAAAGAGCAAGCTTCCTGTGGAGCCTGCTGAAGGGAGGGCAGAGCTGCTGCCCCCCTGCCCCCCTCCCTCAAATCCTCCCACAGATCCCTGAGAGTTCCCCAATTCCTCTTCGTACTACTGAGCTCCTCGGTGATTTCTCTCAGTCTCCTCCATTTACCCCTTTGAGTTCCCCTGACATTTAGATCCCCTCCCACAGATGAAGGGTGACAAAGCCCAAAGACTCTGCAAGCCACTGCTACAAGAGGAGTTTTTGCCATTTTCTGATTACATCCAGACTCCAAGTGGTAGATCTTACTACCATGTATGGCACCACAATCTCAGCCCTATTGATTGATGCACCAAAAAAGAAAGGTAGTTATCTAGTTGTATAATGCAGTCCCTAGGCAGGTATGAAGCATCAAGTACCTTGAATATTCATAGAGCTAATAAATCATTATAACTTTAAAATCATGTCTTGATATAGAATCATGGAATATATGAGACTTCTTATTTTAACTGGAGAGATATTAACAATGTAGTTATTGACATGAAAGATTATGCAGCAGAAAAGGTTACCTTCACTGTCTTTAAATTTCTTGATAGCCACAATTTCATGTGTCTCCTGTAAAGCAAAAGCAAAGAAAGGGAAATGAGCAAGATCTGTTGTGTGGTTTTTTGTCTTGGATTTTTTTCCAAGAAAAAAAAAAAGCATCCAGAGAAATTTCACAATGCAAACCAAAATTAACTAAGAATCTGGTAAATACCTCAGTGATCAGGTCAAATGCAATACAAAACCACATGTAGCAGACATGTCACAATTAGGAACCCCAGTATGAAAAAACAAACTTAAATGCCAAAAATTAATATTTAAATACCTTACACCAGATATGAATTAAATTTTCAGAAGAGTTGTTCCTGTGACTCTAGTAGTTTAGTTATTGTGAAAGTCAAACAATCCTTTACCTGACCAAAGTAGGAGTGTGGGTGCTTATCTTTGTGAGCTAAAAAGGAAAATACTGTACTAGCACGTGGCTAAGGCTTACTATGAGACATGTAATTTTTGTTGCCAAAAGTTTTTGAGTTTCAAAGTTCAAATATCCACAAAGATGATGATTTTAGGAAGGTAAATTCTCCCACCCCCCCCCCCCCCATCGTCGTCATCTTAAGGGAAGCATATCCAAACCCAGAATCACTAATTGCATTTGAAAGTGTTAATCTGTGCTTATAATATGGTCACAGGTGATAACTTCTTAACCCCTGCCTGCCTTTGCATTCATCTAGTATTCTCTATTCTCACCAAACCTGATCATCATAGGTCACATTTTTCTCTTAAATGAAGATATTTCTCTTGTTGGGTGAACAGGAATGCATTTAGGACATGGCCAAAATACAGCCAACATGACATGACTCGTGCGGGTCTGTTCTGCAGTGATGCAGCACCTGAGTTTTAGTATTATGATGGGGAAGAAGCTTTACAGTCACAGAGTAAGGGCATGTGAGCACACAGGCAGGAGGCTACTTCGGTTACTTGACGAGCTAGATCTAGCTTACATGCCTTTGCCAAACATCACAATTTAAAAAAGAAAAAACCCACACCATAACAATATCTCACTATTAATAACATACAAAGGCTGGATTGGACTACAGCAATAAAAAAAAGTGAAGTCCTTCTGGAATACCCGAAGACATATGCATAACCAAGTATTGAATAACTCAAAACATCTACTCCATTTTTCACTTCAAATCATCATAAAACATGAACATGTAAACCATATGCATTTAAAATAAAAGCACCTGGTGCTTTTAGAGAGGACTTGCATTGCTTTTCTGCTACTGAAACCTGCCCTTCATATACACTGGTCTAATTGGAAGGCTGATACATTACATAAATTCAGCTGAGATACTGCCAAGGTCCAAGCACTACACTTTGCTCAACCAATTTACTGAACAACAAAGAAAAGGATGTCAGAACTGAGGACATAATATGCATTTCAAGTTTGGAGTGATTCTGAAAGACTTATCTAGAACTTCTATGTCAAATACAGTTCCTAAATAAACTGTTTCAGGAAGCTTGCAAACTGAATGATCTAAACTAAACTGAACAGATTACCGTTACTACTAAGTTATAGTATTGTTATAGTTATTCACTCTAACTATAGTAATAATGATAATAGTTACTAGCACTATGAAGGAACACTGCTAAGAGGGTGAGTACATTTAGCTTATTTGACTTCTCGTATCTACTGTTAGGTGCTTTGGCTAATTAAGCCTCTGAAAGGTTTTTCAGAAAAGGAACACTGTAATTGCCCTCAAAAGCCCCTGCTGACTGTAACATGCCTATGTTTAGACAGTGTGCGTACACCACTTTGCAGATGAGCCAAATTTATCCATTAGTATTACATTTCTATTTCACGTGAAGGAAAAGAAAAAAATTTGTAGATGTTTTGGTAAGCATCGAAAGGCTGTATTTTTCTTGTTGAAGTAATGGCTAAGTAAACTGAAAGAAATGTAGGAGTTAAAACCTGTTGCCTCACACAGACAGCAATTCTGCACCATTCAAGAAATCTAGTCCATGTGGCTTCTCTGCCATATGCTGCTGTCCCTGATGTGTACAGTGAATGTAATTATTGGGGAAATTAAGTTCTAAAAGCTCTTGGGTCACCACATAAGGAAGAAAAAGTTATCCAAACAGCTCAAAATATTGTAACATTTTCATTTGAAAAATTTGCATTTGAAAAGCTTTATCACTTGTATTATTTCATTAGAGTAATTAATGTTGTCATAATTGAGCAATCAAAAATTTATACAGAACTTATTCCCCATCTTACAAAAAACCCCGACAAATAATATATTTAAACAACTCGAAGTGAAACACCACCTAATGAGACTAGACAAGAGGTGCTTTGAGGAGTTGCATTAGTAACATTTTATTCCTTCTTCGGGAGGGACATTCTTGTCTAGGTTTCTTAAAGGATCTCATCCTATCCAAATGGCATTCTCTAGGAATCAGCTACTGGTGAAGCAGTCAAGCCAAAGCTAAAATGGATACAAGGACACTGAAGATTACTGTGCATAGATTTTTAAATACAACACACCCGCTTGTCAAAAAGGCTGTAACTTCCCTATGATGTGGAACACCTCCAAAACAGTAGAGTTTGGGAGTGCTGCAGCAGGCAGAACAGAAAATTGAGGCTGAGTGCACGTTTTCCATTTCTTGGTCGAGCGGTCTAAACCAACTAAATAGTTTATATGAGGTGACATGAAAAATAGTAGCTCCTTATCAATCATGTTTTAAACTAGTTTCCAAAGGAAGAATCCATCTCACATGCCCTGTTTGATTGTGTCTCTGTTTGCCATCCATCACCACTAGTAATTTTGACCTAGATGTCCAGTTTCAACCAAATCTTACAAAGAAATGCAAGTTCTAAAAAGAGAAAATGTCAAAAAACTTTCTCAAATTCGTCAGCCATATATAGAATATCCTTCCTTGGGAGAAGAAAGTAGTAAGAACTGAATCTCCTATACATTGTATGATGTTGCAGACAAGCAGCATAACGAACTAACACGCCTAAGCATGGCTTTTGATCAGCCATTGTACATAATTGTAATTTACACAACTTAATAGAGAACGAGATTGGAAAACACAGAATATATTTGGTCTATGGATCAATTCAGCAGGCATATAGTAGGGGTGGCACTAGAGCTCTCAGACAATGCAGGCCCAATCTGAAGTTTCAAACAAGGACTGACATGCGTTAGGTGCAAAACAGACACCACATTGCTAAGCCCTGAGAAGATGGACAGAATCCATGATATGAAGAAAAGCAGAGCTTTGAGCAATGAGGGGATTCAACAGTGAAAATTCAGATTCCTGTGAGAATCTGAAAGGTTCTTTACAGATCAAATTTAGACTTTGTTAATTAAATCTTTACTTAAAAGTCCTTTTGGAGATCTGAGCTCTTTTGTGGATCTGGTTCTCTGCTCCTCAAAATCAGGCCAAACTGCAGTTCTCCAAAATAGAATTGTCATTCTCTAAAATATATTTTTTTTTGCATTTCAAAAGGTTGGTTTTTTTCAAGACTGTACTCTGAAAAAGAACAGTACTGAAAACAATGTTCAGTCTGATTGATTACGGAAACCCTTCTCAGACAATAGCTCAGTATTCAACTCCTAGCATGGAAAATTCTCATATCTAATTAATGTATAATCTAGGTAGATAAGCTGTTACTAGTTAATTCAATGCTTAAGTCAATGTTTGAAACTTCAATAAATGTCAAGGAAAAAAAACCTCAACTAATCCTAAATATTCTGTGCTCTTTATGGAACACAGAACATCCTTTCTGATCTCTACCACTTACTACCACTAGCTTATATAATGAAATATGAAAATTTGAGTTCACTTAGATGTACTTTTGCTTCACTCAGCTACATTTATTACTAAGCATCTCATTATCTTGCTCTACTAAAAAATTCTGGCCTCAATATTTCACTTTACATTCTGAGGCAATGGCAAATTTGCTAATGCACAAGTCAAATCTCTCTAAGCATTGGTACCACCTCTGCTTATTGAGCACCTATATTATAAACATTCTGTGTCACAAAACTGTAAGAAAAGCACTGTTTTACAGTTAAATATGCAACAACAGACGAATGTTATGGAAAAAAACGTTGTGTAAAAGTTGGGGATGTAAACAAACTGGTTATTCAGACTCCATGATTACATGTGTCTAAAAATGAGGCAAATCTGCTAATACCATTTAATAAGGGTAAGACAAAAAATTCTTAATCCATGTCTGTTCCATTTGCTTCAATATAGAGGAGGAAGGAGATACTCTTCTGGTAGCCACCCAGGGATCTCTCTCCCAAGTTTCCTCACAAGATTGTACCACTTGGTATTTCCTGTCACCAGCATCAAATTAGAAGAGCTCCCTGATTCAAAAGCATTTAATTTCATTTAAAGGATAGATGTCCCCTGTATCTCCATTGTCTCTACATAATATATAGGACATGACAGTGTTTTTCCAAAACAGTGCAGGAAGGTATCTCTGTTTTTTTCTAGAAAAATCCTTGATGTTAGTGATGAGAGTACTCAAGGTGCCCCTCAGCATAATTCAAGAGCTTATAACTATAACCATTCTTCTCTGGAAAGAGAAACATATCCTATCAACTATATGCTGTTCTTGAAAATATCATGTAACACATACACAAAAAATCTCTTCAAATGTTTGTCCCTATTTTGTTTCAAAGGTTTCCATTAGGATTTTTTTTTCCTTTTTCTTTTGCATATCAAGGAAAATTTGACACAAAGCAAAGGTCCACAAAAAGATTCTTGAAAACTATAGACGATTATGTCCTTCAGAAAGTTACATCATTCAGCTATGATTTTACTGCTCACCCTATATGATTACAAGAATTTCTCAAGCATGGATTTTTTTAAACAACTGAAAGAGTAAGCATTTATAAAAATCAACAAACATGAGTAGAGATAGTGAGAGTCAACATCGAGCACGTGCCATGGAGCAGCAGCACGTTGCTGCCTTTACTCAGGCGGTGCTGTACCAGCAATATCTAGTACATCATATCACATCACGGTTTTATGCTGATATGTCAAGTGGCATATTA